AGCGCTTTTTGTTTATGCCATTCTGCAGTGTATTTGACAGATATCGTGTTTACTGCTTATTAAATGATAGCAGCTATCTGGGGCATTGGCGTCTAATTTGCGACCCGTGATTCTGGGCCTGTGATTTGCTGCTCTGTATATCCGAGGTGTGAAGTTCCCCTCCAGTGTTCAGGGCCATTTTCCCACAATGCTGTAATTTTAATTGGTTTTTAACACTCCTGGCATCGGTGCTGGCTGCAGGCTGCGTCTCCGTACGAGAAGAGTCATTGTTGGTTTATTAAAACATCCTCTTCAGTGAAAGCATTACTCCGAGTCAATTATCACTTCTGTGACAGTAACAGCACACGTCTGCGCTATTTTAGAAAGACAGCGTGTGAGCGAGAGTATGATTGTGGAGAGCTCGGTTTTTCCCCCTGGCTCGCGTGTTTTCACCTCACCTTCTCTCTGATTAGCCGTTAGCACTAGCATCAACACGCCGTCTGTCCACTTCTCCGGCGTGACGGTGCTGTTTACCCTCAGAGAACATCTCTGCGGTTTAGGGATCCAGCAACTAATGAATATAATCAATTACAAACGATAATGAACCAGTCTGATTATCGATTATCTGCATCTGAGCGCTGTGCGCAGAACTTTACAGTAGTGAACAATGCATTTCAATGGATGAAACGCGTATGACATACAGTAGGGTGACCATATTTGAGTTTTCCAAAAAGAGGACAGTGTGGGGCGGGGTTCGTGGGCGGGGCAGGAGGCGGGGTTTCGCCTAATGTAGCATTCGTAACATATATGTAGCAAAGTTTTTTTTGTTTGTTTGCTTGTTTTGTTTTTAGAATAAATAAAAAGAAAACAAGTAGACAGAATAGAAAAAGAATAGGAAATGCTACTGTTAAAGGCTCTTTTCTTTTTTAATAAAACAAGTAGTTAGAATAGAATAGAATAGAATAGAATAGAGAGTGTTAGAGTTAGAGGGTCAAATGAAGATGAAAGAGATGTGTTTTCACCCGTTTCTTGAAAATATTAAGGACTCGGCTGCTTGGATTGAGCTGGGCAGGTCGTTCCACCGGGAGGGAACAGTTAATGTAGAAGTCCATGAAAGTTTTATCAGGTAGAATGCAAAATGTTTCAATACAAGCATTTCAGTCAAATGTAATTTATGCAATATTTCAAACCTTTAACCCACTTGGGAAAATCAACCGATGGCAACAGTTTAAAAGTAGCCCAATTCTGTGGAAAAAACATGGACTTGGCAACCCTGCATCCCACAAGAGCTGCAGTAGTCAGATCTGACTGATCACAGGTCGAGAATAAGGAGAGATGATTAACGAGACCATGCTGGAGTATTTGCTGCTCAACAGATCCTGAGCTCACTGACAAATATCTGATCTTGTAAGATGTGCTCCCTTTACACAGAGTGCGTGTGATCGCGAAATCGAAAGTGAAAGTAAACGGCGCAAACGCTCATTCAGAAGAGATTTAAATACACTGCATCCTGAGAGCGGCTCCCTGATGTGCCAAAATTATACACAATATTAGAGTGTTTCAAGGAGTGGACACGAAAATCGCGGGAACGAAACACATCAGGCGGGAGCGGGACAAAGAAAACAACCGAATCCCGGACATTTTGGGCAATTTAGAAATCCCGGCCGGATGCATTTTTTTTGACATATGGACACAGGAACCCAAGCTGCCATAAACATGAGAATGCTTTAAATTTAGAGCTTCAAACAAACTCATGAGCATGCCGTTTAACACGCCTTGCCCTGACAGACACGTGTGCTGTGTAAAGCATTTGAGACAAGTTTCCCAGGCTAGTCCTGAAAGCTAGCACGTCTCTGTGAACGTCACAGATTCACTTAACGAGCGCATGCATGTTAAACAGACGGAGCGCAACAGAATAGAGCACAATAGTTCTGATGCAAATTTATTTAGCTAAAATATTTCTAGTGAAACCTTAAACGTTTGTTTAAAATTCTACATGTAACACAAGTAAGCCTGGTCCGAATACCATTTTTTGAGCTTCGAAGCTTCGGTAGTAATCAACACAGAATATTCGAAGCTTCGGAGGGAGGGGGCTGAACATATTCTTCTCTCTAATATAGGCAGGAATCTCTGTGTGTCTGTCTGTTCACATTTTTATTATGTCGAGAACCGTTCATCCAGTCGACTTCACGTGTGGCGGGTGTGTTGCTGCGGACCCAAGCGAGTGCAGTGTCGCATTTTGGTGCAATATGGACACGCGACACTTTCAGAATTAATAAACTTAAACACCTACAGAACAGCGCGAGCCAGAAGCGGCGCGCCTCTCTATTCATTGAGCACGCAGGGCTTACATGCTCCGAGAACAGACACTGCACTAGTGATACAAAACACACAGGTCTGTTAAGAGCAATACTTTTAATATAGACAAATTATTATTAGGCTGGGCTACTGTACGTTTTTTATGACTGCCGTATTCACAAGTATTTTCCAAGCAAATTAAGTGCACGTTTTTATCATGTGTAAAATTACTGATTAACATGGCGGATAAAAGCGGCTCGTTTTACACCAACAATATACTATAGGCTAGTACTTACAGAACT